CCACAGGAAAGGGCTCCAGGCTACTAACGTGGCCCCGATGAACAGAGAGCCGTCAGCCGATGTGCACACATCACACCTTCCACTCTGGGCTGAATTATAACTGAAATCTGGTCTCTAAGTTTCTTTTCTCAAACATTTCCACCTTCTAACACAACTTTTATTCCCCTCTGCAGTTGTGCTGTCCATTCTAGACTCTGCTTGCCCTGTGCGGCTACTTTTATTAAAACTGAAATCACTAGGAATTAAATAAAATGTAAAATTAAGTTCCTCAGTCGCACCAGCCACATTTCAAGTGTTCAATGCCACACGTGACTGGTGGCTACTGGGTTAGCACAAATATGGAACGTTTTCATCTTCACAAAAATTTCTATTAGCATTGCTCTGTATTTCCAGCTCATTTTTAAAGTTTCTTTTCCTCTGTCTGAGCCACCTTCGCCTCACTTTGGATAGGCCTGGAGGCAGAGCAGGTGGCTGGCATATGACCAGACCTGAGGCTCAGGGTGAACTTTGCATCTGGCCAAACCATCCAGGCTCCTGTAACCTGCAGTTAACTGAGCCAGGTGCTGGGAAGTCGACTGGTCCCAGGTCTGGCACCAGACTGGAGTAAATTTACATCAGAATGGCACATACAGCCTAGGGTTAGAAAGGAGGCCAGCTTTAGGAGAGCTAGACAAAAGAGCAAGCCAAACTCAATTTACTCCTAATGTTGTCTCCATCAAGTCTTTGTGGAGAAGAAAACTGCCTCCAAGAAGATGAGGCTGTGCAGTAAAAAGGGCTTTGTATCTGCCATCAGATGGCCTGGTTCCAATCTAAGCTCTCTTAGTTAATTTCTTGGAGCCTCAGTTGCCCCATTTGTGTGTGTGTGTGTGTGTGTGTGTGTGTGTGTGTGTGTATCAAATACTTATATAGTGCTTCCTATATTCCAGAACTATTCTAAATGCATTAACAATTATAGCTCGTGAGTCCTGGTAACAACTGTGTGCGGTAGCTATGGTTTATATCCCCATTTTAGAAATGAGGAAACTGAGGCCCAGAGAGGTTAAGCAGTTTGTCCAAGGACACAGAGTTAGTAAGTTGTGAATCACTAAGAATCAATCCCAGGCAGCCTGGCTCCAGAGGCAGTGAAAGCATGAATGATGACCATCCCCAGGTTGGTACTCCAAGTGTTGAGCAGCCATCGTGGCAAGTCAGAACTGACACAGGCCATGGCTGACCCCTTAGTTCCGAGAGCATGGGGACGTCTGGAAGTTCCTGGGCTGAAGGATGGTGGGGAGGCCGATTGGAGGGTTTGGCACAAGAACCACTATAAGGACTATTGCAACATTTTACCCACTGATGTGACTGTCCCAGCTGAACATCAGCCTTGGTCATCCCCATCATTCTTATGTCACTGGGATTGTGGGAGTTAAGTGAGTTAACCCACGTTATCTCATTTAATGACGCTTAGTGTTATTTCCATTTTTTTCTACTAATTTAATCCAGCCACTAGGATGGTGCAGAAATCAAATTAAAACACTTGCGAAGTGCCTTGTCAGGCAACTGGCACACAGTAGGCTCTAACTGCCATTTCTCTCTCTCCCCCTTACCCTGCTGAGACTGGCAGCGTCCTCCCTTTCACAGTGGCTGGGCTAAGCTAAGCTGTCAGTTATCTGCAGAGGTGCTGTCAGTGCTTTGGAGAAAAAGGCCAGTGTTTGTCAGATCATCATCCCCCAGACTCTCAGGAGCCAGGCACACAACAGCAGAGGCCAGTGAAAGAAAGGCCAGAGTCAGCAGTCAGACATACAAGGAAATCTTTACCGCCCTCGGGCCTGTAGAACCATTCCACCACCGTGGTGGCCTCCACCTCCTCCCTCTTCATGCAGGAGATGCAGCGCAGCTTCATGGGGTTGCCCTGAACGGCCTCGGTCTCCGAGGGCACTTCCACACAGACAGGGAAGCAGACGCTGACTGGAGAGAGGCCAGGGAATGGGGAAGGGACAGGAGGTGTGGGGCAGAGGCAGTGGAGAGCGAGGAGGGAGGGAGGAGAGGCAGAGAAGGAAGAATCATGAGCTAAACTTGAAAACAGCAGGCACATGTATGTACGCTCCCCAAGTGTGCTCCCCACAACAGGCAGGGAGTGCAACAGAGGAGCCGTGGGGGACCGGGCATCGAACGCAAACCTCCCCAGACTAGTGGGGATGCGGTGCAGCACGCACCTGGTCCCACCCTCAAAGACTGAGCACCCAGGTGGGAATCGGCACACATGCATCCATCCGTGGACCGTCCTTGCACCCTTCCGTTCAACAAGCATCCACTGAAATCTACTCTATGACAGTTCTGACACTGATACGATGAACAAAACACTCACCACACCCTAAAGGCATTTATAAACCCGAAAGGAACACATACTCCTAAGTATCTTTAAACCAGACTGTGGCAAGTGACGTAATAGTGCCGTGCTCTGTTCCCAGGGAAGGGAGAGTTTACTCCTGGTTGGGCTAGGAGAGAGGAAGAAAAGGATGGTGAGACTTGAGGCTAGAAAGGTAGATTGGACCCACGTTGTGAAGACCTCTGTACGAGCTTCACAATAGGAGGGGTCAAACGTTTTAAAGCCATGGAGAGATGTAATCGTATCTATGTTTTATGAAAAATGTAATTCTGACGTACGGTGGAGGATGGAGCAGCAAGGAGGTGAGCTGACCCTGAGGCTGGGGTGATGCTTCACACAGAGGAGGAGAGACAGAGAGAGAAAGACGCAGTTACAAATTGAGAGGGAGGTCAGATCGGGGGGCACCTTGCATGCCACGCAGAGGTCTGGACTTGTAATTTCTGCCCTCTAGAAACATTGGACTGTAAATTCAGAATGAATCAAAAGTGGGACGTGGCTACCAATAAAGCAAGTGCAAACACAGGCTGCCTTAACAGAAGTACACTGTGCAGAACAAATGAGGAACCATCCCTCTGCGCTGTGCAGAACAGATCTGGACTATGATGATCAGTTCAGGGTGTCACTTTGTACAAAAGGAAGTTTTTGACGAGTGCGTGTGCAGAGAAAAGCGAGATGAAGAAGGGTCTGGGGGCAAAGTCTGGTAAGAACAAAGGGAGCCAGGTGCTTAGCTTTGACACCAACACATCTGTCTTCAAATATTTGAAGGCTGGATTGTGGAAGAGAAAACAGATTCTGTCCAGCTCCAAAAGGTACAAGAAAGTAAGTGTAGCTCAACTGGTTTTTTTTTAAGAACTTTCTCATGCTGTAGCTGTTCACAAGTGCAGAGAACAATTTGGTGAGAGAGTTTACACCTCACAGAAGATTCAAAAGTGAAGTGACCACCCAAAATTCTTGAATCAGGGCTTCTAAACTGTCCTAACGCTACCTTATCATTAACTATTAACTTAAAACCCTTAAAAATGAAATAGTACACACTGTCATTTAAAGCTAGTCCACTGTGAATGGTCAATCTGTTCCTCCACTGGCAGGCAGTTAGTTCTTTCTAAAAGCAGAGGAAAGCTTTAGTTGGAGATTGAAATGAGACTGACCAACTAATTTTGAGTCAAAAATGAAATATTTGACTTAGAATGCAACAGATTTAGACATAGAATTAAAAAACTGGAGGCACTATCATAAAGTTTAACATAGTAACAAGGTAAAATACATTTTATCGGTTTTAAAACTCTCAGGAGGCTGGGGCTGGTTTTATCAGGCAGCCTGCAAGAGGCTCGCTTGCTCCTGCATGTGGATCATTATTTTAATGGATAACAGGTCCATATCTAGAGAGAACTGATCAGAAAATACTTTCAGAATGTGATGAGTTTGAAGTCTTGATTATAGGCCTTGTTTTAAAAAAAAAAGGGGGTGGGGGTGGGAAAGAAAAAGGAAAATAAAAAGGCATGGTCTGTGCAAAACTTTGGGAGTGGTAACAGTGTAGAGAGTGTACACTGAGAACTCTGTGTAGCAGGGAGCCTTTGGGGCACATTCATATTTAAAGAGACATGGTAAAGATGAGTTAGTTCAATGATGATGACTTCAGAGCAGAATAGGAAAATGGACCATGGAAGTATAGTTGCAATTAAAGAGGTAGGAGGAAAATGGGATTTGGCAACTGAAGGCTTGGATTTGATGGACTGTTCAACCTCACAGAGGCTCAGTTTATTCATCAACAAAACGCTGAAAGTAATATCTATCTAAAAGATGTATCATGGAAATTGTATAGAATAATTTGCATGAATGTGCTTTGTACAAATACCACTTGTTAATGTGATTTTATCCTTCATTTATTTGTTCACTTATTCAACAAACATATTGGGTGCTTCCTGTATGTCAGGCATGGCTCTAGGCACTGAGAACACAACAGGAAACAAAGCAGGAACCATCCCTGCTCTCCTGGAGCCCACATTCCACGGGAGGGAGAAAGGCAATAAGCAACACTAAGTTGCAATAAGAGCTATGAGAAAAAATAAAACAGAGCAGAGGAGATAGAACGTGCATAGGATCATGGAAACAGCCTCATTGAGAAGGTGACGTGGAGCAGGCACTGAAGGAAAGAAATGAGGGAACCAGCCACACAGGTATCTGTGTGAAGGTGTGCAGAGGAAGGAGCGACTCAGGAGTCCTAGGGTGGGAATGTGCTCGTCGAAATCAAAGAGCACAACAAAGCACAGGGAACAAAGGGAGAATAGACTGGTGTAAAATATAAAATAGACAAACAAGTTCATACTGTACAGCACAGGGAGCTATATTCAATATCTTGTAGTAGCTTATGGTGAAAAGGAATATGAAAAACGAATATATATATCTTTGTGTATGACTGAAGCATTGTGCTGTACACCAGAAATTGACACACCATTGTAAACTGACTATAATAAATATATATATAACAAAATATAATATAATATAATAAATATATATATAATAAAATATAATATATAATAAATATATATATAATAAAAATACACATTAAAAAGAAAAAATAAGCTTAAAAAAAGGAGAATAGAAGGAGACAAGGTAGGAGAGATAAGCCAGGGCCAGATCAAACTGGTCTTGTTGACCATGGTTAGAACTTTGTCTTTTATTTTGAGTGACATGGGAGCATTGGAGGGTTCTGAGTGGAGGAATGACATAATTTATACAAAATTACATGATCTGACTGCTATGTTGAGAATAAACTGAAGAGGTGAGGAAGGACACGGGTGGAAGCAAAGAGAATAGTTAGGAGGCTAGTATAGTGATTAGATTGAGAGATGGTTCAATGATTTTGCTTTGCTGAAGATGACAGCAGAGCTGCTGGGGTTTGAAAAAGAATCGTTTGCTGGACTAATATCCTTGAATAGATGAGAAGTGATGTCCTCTAGTGAACAAGTAGCTGTGTTGGTCTTAAATAGAAATACAGTTAGTTGATTTATAGTTAAAAGAGGGTGGGCAGAATGCAGTCAGGATGGCGAGGATGTCACAGCAGCTCCTCTTTGTTCTGAGTTGCCCCTGAGATGACAGTAACCCAAGGTGTCATCAGAGAGCAAGCTCCACTGATTCCCTTCTCCCTGCCAAAGTCCAATTACAAGTCATAAGAATGACTCTGCACATGAGGTCAATTCAGTTCATGAGGTCCTGGATAGCACACTGCAAAATGGCCACAAAATCTTCTCGTTCCTGCTTACTCTCCCTTTGCATTACGACTTGTTGCTCCTTCCATCAAGAGGGAAAGTGTATTTCTCCCTGCTGTGAGACTCCAGCACACCACTGCCTCTCTTTCCATGAGATCCTTTAGATACCAAGAAAAGGTTGTACACGTGGTAGGTATTCAACCCACACTGCTGACTATAACTAGTAAACTCCTGGAATAATCTTAGCCAAGTCGTTTGACCTTTGGTCTTCTCTTCAATTTCTATAGTAATAATGAGGAAACATGGGAGGGAAGAATATATTGATGATGATTATACTTAACTAAGGAATGGCATCAGGAGGCAGACAGTAACATTTATGCAACCAACTCCTCTAGTAACTCCAAATCTTTTTCTCCTTTGGGCATTGCTATATTGTCCCTCTTGACCTTGCTCTAGAATGCTTTCCTTTGTGCTAAGATAATAAAGGCTTTGATTAGAATGTAAACACCTTCCAAAAGGGGGTAATAAATGACATTATTTATAGCTATTAACACCCTGATGACTTGGTCTATCAGATTAGCCAGTCACTTAGTGGAGCCTTGAAAGTGTGGATGCAATTTAGGCTACTGGGGGGAAGAGAGGAAAACATCCCACACACAATGGACATCTGGAGAGGACAAGCAGAGAAGACACTTGCAGGCAAAAGATGAATATGGCCTTAGGAAAGGCTATGGCATGGGGGAGGGGCATTCCAAAAGGGATGAGAGGACAGACAGATGCCCACCTGGCAATCCTGGCATAGCATCACGTGCGTCCACAAGAGGAGATAGAACAAGCTCTAGAAGACTGAAATCAGGAGGTAAGAGTCCCCTAGAAAGTCCTTTCCCCTCCCCTGCACTCATTTTCTCATCTCTAAATTGAAAATAATACTGCTTTCCTTGACTACCACCATAGAATTGATATGGGGACCAAACGAAGTAATAGACTGAAAATTGCTTTGTAAACTGTAAAGCACCAGACAAATGTATATTTTTTATTATTATTATTATTATTATTATTATTATTATTATTATTATTATTATTAACTTTATTGAAGGAAATAAGGGAACTTTGTTAAATTCATGCAGAAAATAAAAGAATGGAAAAGATTCCATTCATATTTGCATCATGTGACAAATCAGCTTGGGAAGGGAGACCATATCTAAGCTAAGTGCTTGCCGGTCTTGGAATTATATGCAAATAAAATGAAACCGCATTTGTGAAGTGAGGCCCTCTTTCTTACATTTAATGACAAGGTTTCCTGAACCATCCTTCTTTCCCTTCTGCAGCTTCTCAATTTGGTGAACCAATGCTCAGAAGCTGAGGATGAGCAAGGATTAGTGTAGTACACACACTTCTTCCAAAGGTTTTTTTGGGTGGGGGGGTTGAGGGGCTAGAAGGATGGGTACTCTGCCAGTTTTAGCAATATCGTGTAAATATTTCCCTGCCATTCAATTGTGCAGCTAAAGGGATATTAGAAACCTTCTGCCCCAACTTCCAAACTTACGTTCCAGATATATGTATACAAGGAACCAGACACTCTAAGGTGGTTACATAGCAAACTAGTGGCAGAGCTAAGACTCCAGTCCAGGTTTTGTAAGTCTAGCCAAAAGGTCCTTGGACTACAGCATGTTTTCCCTCTGTTCTACAATTCAGGCAAGGATGCTAAAAACTTAAACTAGGATTTGGGAAGAAAGGGCCTGTAGAATCTCATCCCAACACTTCTCTACAACTTCATCTCCCACTGATTTACCCACTCTCTCTCTTATCCAGCCAGACTAACCTCTCCTAAGCCTCGTATCCCTAGTCTTAGCCTCCCCTGAGGAAATCTCAGCCTTGAGTATTCAAGGGAAATCACTAGCAATCTATTACGTCTGCTTCATCTTCAGGTCTGGCTTACTTTCCTGGGGATGGATGGCAGTGAGTCTGCCCTTGGGACTGGCATTACCCTCTCTCTTTGTCCTTGCCAGCTTGTCTCATCAGGCATTTTGTTCAACAGGAAGCTTGGCTCTGCTTCTGGTCACATGCAAAATCCAGATAACGCTGGTCAACAGAGTTAGTCCTGGAGGCTTAATAAAGTGATAAAACTAAGGTAAAGAGGTAATTCCCATCAGCATATCTGCCACTGCATATGCAGAATGAGTTCCATGCCAACCACAGAGCATAATCCTACATGCCTACTTTCAATAAAGCAGGTGGGCACAATCATTTCTAATTATCCTGGTTATTGATTTTTAGCATGAAGAAAAATAGCTAAGATCATGTAAAGCAATATATCGACTGATGAGCACATATTTGATCTGGAGATCTAATCAGAGTTGCCAAGACTGAAATGCCCAGAACTACGCAACAACTATACACACACACGTGCGCGCACACACACACACACACACACACTACTATATCCTCATCAATCCATTCAGACGCCCAAACAAGCATGCTCAGACATACACTAGCATGCACATTCAAATATTGAGGCATACGTTGACACAGTAAAGCATTCTCTCAATCACATATTCAGACGTTATCGTGTAGACTCAGTAACTCCCACTACACACATGCAGGCACCCCACTCCAAGCCCATCTCTAACCACTCTGCTCGGCCTTGCTGTTGCAAGTATAGGACTCTCTTATTTGGAGGGAGAAGGTCACCTCACCCTTTCACAGCAGATAAGCAAGGACCTATTTATCGTTGAAGGCAAAAAACCCAATTCCTCAAACACCAAAGCACCTAGTTCCACATATTTATGAAAAAGAAGAAAGATGCAATTCCCAGGTGCCTATTTATCCAATACACAGCTGCGAATGGCTGAAGCCTGTTTTCCTTATTAAAATTAAACAGATGGATCAACAACTGAGGTATTTTCACTTTCAAAATGGATTCATCCAGATTGTTTTGATATATAAAAATTAACTTGAAGACCCGATGACTTCTCATTGAGAAATGAAATGTAACTGTAATAGAGTTGTTTTTTATTTGTTTGTTTTTTGCTTTTTGGGAACGTGACTGCGTTCTCTTTCAGCAAAGGGGAAGGGAAAGGGAAAAAAATACTTCGGAGTTAACAGGAAACAGGAGGAAGGGTGGGAAAATCACGAAGGAAGATTTGGGAATAAAGAAGCAGGAGAGTGAGGAGGCATTTTTCCAATCTCAAAAATCCCAGTTCTCATGGAACCCCAGTGGATCCCATGCCTGGCAGACATGCACAGAGGGAAGCCAACCAGGGCTCCTTTTTGTCACCAACGACATCAATAAGTGTTATTACTGTCAGCATTATTACTGTTATCTGCATCTCGCATGGCAGGGGCTGGTACTCACCCCACAAGATGAGCACGAGGGAAGCCAGGGGAAACAATCTGTTGAAGGCAGGCATCTTTTTCGGCGGGTGGCTTCCGGAGCTAAACAGAGATTCCCTTGGTCAGCAAATGCTCCTTCTCAGATACTTTCGAGGAAACCCTTTGGGACGAACTGTCCCAAGGGGGCGACTTTCTGCCTGAAATAAGGGCCAAGCGCCAGCGACTGGGGAGGCTCTGCGGGCTTCTTGAGGTCGGCGAGGGTTTCAGCTCCAAGCCGCCCTAGCCGACCGCCCGAATTCGAGGGAGCGGATCGGCAGCTTGGCGCGCTCTCCCCGGAGCCCGTTGCTGGGATCCGGCTCAGCACCACGGACAGTGCCTTCCCCGCCCACCCCGGAACTGCCAATTCCAGTTGCTCGGCTGCTTCCCTTGTTTGCGCCTCCGGGAAAGCTCAGCTCCGTAGCGAACAGCACGCAGGCTCTAGGCGGCTGGGCTGTCGAACGGGTCCATGTTGATCCACCAGTCACCTCCCTACGAATAGCTACGCTCCGACCGGCATCCACCGAGACCCGGGAGCTCCGGCTTCAGCCGCCCTGACCGGCTTCTCCAGCTGGGCGTGCCCCCACGCCCGAAGCCACCGGGACCGCCGTCTGAGCTACAAAATTCGTTCCACCTCGGTCCCGTCCACACCCGCCCTCGGCTCCCCGGGGAGGTCCGGAGAGGCGGGGAAGGAGGCGTAAGCTCCTGTTTGGCCCGCGATCTCAGAGGTGGGGCATCAGAGATAGGGTGGGTAGACCCCTTCCCCGGAGCTTGCCCCCGGATCGTGTCAGGGCCCGACCCTGCGTGGAGGGTGACCAGCTACGCTTCTCCAGGCCCCCCTGACAGTGTGTGCTGTCAGCCTGGACATGCGCAGGCGGCTCTCCACCCTCACCGCCGCCACGGACCCACCCCCTCGTGCAACACTCCCCACCTCCAAACAGGCGTGCCCCTCCCAGGGCCGATCTCTGCTGCCAAGCGAGGGGCGGAGCTCCGAGCGACGCAAACACCTCAGCCCCCGCGATTCCTCTGCTCGCTGGTTGTCTCCAGGTCTCCCTTTCACGTTTCCACACCCCTTCCCAGAGCGGGCACGCCTCCTCCCACCAATTCGCACCCTCCAGGCAACCCAACTCCTGCTCCTGCACAGACATGTTTGCCTCCAGTTCCGGGAAGAGGAGGGTCATGTCTCTTTCAGGCAATGATGTCATCTACAATGTACACTGTACATGGCTCCCAGCTTCTCTCACCCGACCCCATCTCCTCCTGCTCTCCTACTATATCCTTTGTCTAGCCTTGATTAATTGGTTCCGGGCACACTGAACGCAGCAAAAGAATCCCTGCTTAGAAGTGGGGTAGGAGTGGGGCGCACCTGTTCCCATGTTCACCTCCTCAGCCAGTGAGGTGATCCAAATGTCGGTGCAAGAATGGTGTTCTTGGGGTGGGGTGAGGCAACTCCCTCTGGCTCTAGTCACTTTTTTTTTTTTACAGTTTAAAAGCAAATAGATTGTGGTTTGGCTTCTTCCAACTATTAGCCTCACCCCAGTCCTAACAGCTGTTTCAGTGCTCTGCCCCATCGCTGGAAGGGAAACCTGAACCTTTAAATTTAGTTATAAACTCAAATTGACATAATAGATTAGGAATGCCTGGAACTGAAGTGAAAGGTTAATACAAGAACCTCTCCCCCCTCTTCTCATTGCCTACTGGCTCCCTTTCCAAAAGGGGAAGCTTGACTCTGATATTCCAAAAAAGAACCACAGAGTAACAGCTGACTGTAAGTGAACCATAGGCAGGAAATTCTCCCTCCTAACACATCACAGAGCAACAGAATGTCCTTCTTTCTGGGCAGGGAGCCACCAGGCATAAACTCTATGTTGCTTTGAAGACCAGCCCTTGAATCACAGTGTGTTAGACTTGGATGAGAAGTTAAAGCCGACTTAATTCAACTTTCTTCCCAATTCATGAATGCCCCTAGGACGTTCCTAATGAACCGGCTCAAACTTTGTCAGTGATGAGAGCTTACTACTTCACAAGTCAGTCCCTTCTAATGTTTAAGGAAGTTCTTTATATTCAGTTGAATTCTGTACACTCCTTCCTCCTCAAACTCCATTAAGAGATGAAACAAAGCTGTTTTCCTTAAGACAGCTATGCTTCCCCAGATTTTTTGTTTGGGGCTAAGCTTCATAAGTTTCTGACAGTGTATTTCCTGGTAGTTTCCAGCCCTTGAGTACCCTGGTCACTTTCTCAAGATTTTTTGTTTGTCAGCATGATTCTCAAAGTGACATCCAGAACAGGAGCTGATGTTTCCTGTGGGGTCTGACCCACATAAATTCAGGGGCATTGTGGCCACACTTGCTTTAGAGGATGCATCTGTTCAATTACATTTGCAGCCATATCTCACTCCTAATGAGCTATGGTCAGTTAAAATCCCGAAGTATTTTTCACTCAACCTGTTGCAGAGTCATCTTGAATTTATACAGGGAATTCTGGAAAAATAAACTGTACTTACTGCTGTTAAAATTTATTAGTTTCAACCAATTGTCACATCCTATTAATACTTGTATTGAATCCAGATTTAATCATCCAACATATCTCTCTTCTTTAGCTTTGTTTCATCTCTAGGTTTGACAATCAGTTGATCCAAATACAGATTTTTTTTAATGGATAGGAAAAAACAAAGAAGAGTTCTTTGGCACGACTTTAGAGACCTTACTTTAGTTTGACTAATTAGACTTGTTTGGTATTGTCACTTACTCACAAAAAACTACCCAAATATATCTCCCTATTTTCCATATTGATAGCATAACACGTTCTGAAAACAAATTTTAAAAGCATGTACGTGAGAAGAATTAGACTTACAATGATCCAAAAAGAGAGCTGTAGGGTCAATGGTTTACATTTACATAGAAATGGATTTTCAGCAGAATGTTTCAAACCATTCCAAAGTGGAATGAATTACCTTTTGATATGTTCAACATGTTATTATCCAAAGAATTACTGGATGTTGTAGAAAAAAATCTTCTATAGTTAGGAATTTGGAATAGATTATTGATAAAGTTCTAATTGTCTTTGAGATTCTATGATTTTATCAGAAGTCTCACCCAAATACATACAGTAACTGAAATATTTTCAGTCTGATAATTCTAGCAACCACGACTGCACTCATCACCACTACCGCATCAGGAACTGCTCAACTTTGCATAATTTTTCTTACGTCTGTTTGTGCTGATTCCTAATAATCACAATGTTTTTTTTTCTAAATGTTTGCCAAGCCCATTTAAAATTATCACTTTGAAGATTTTACATGAGATTTTAAGAACAAAGTACTTGCCTCCAGTTTGCATAAGCCACTTCTCCTGTCTCTCCCCTATTAAAAACAAGAGCATTTGGTCTTTTCAGTCTCCTGGCATTTCCTTTGGTTCTTGGCAGTGGCTCTTAGTCATTTTCACAAGTACCTTAAGTTCCCTAAAGTACATATGGCTTTGTTCTCAGAGTTTTTAACTCAATTAAATTATTTCCTCCTACTTTCCATCATTCTGGCTTCAATTCTCTTCTGCTGTTTTTTGTTTTTGTTTTTGTGGTTTTGTTTTTACCCTTTCCAATTTGATGATTATCTTCCCATTGCAGTTGAGGGTGAAACTGTAGTTTCTAGTCTACAAACAGTAGCCAGAGCACTGTTTGTATTCTGTGAGATCATGCACCTTTATTGCTTTAAGCCCTTCAACAGCATCTCTTTGAATAAATAAAGTAATAAATAAAAGCTTGACTCCTCACCACTGTCTAGCCAGGCCTGCCAGAGCCCTGATTATCTCTTCACACTCACATCTATCATTCTCTGTCTTGTCCACAATATTCCAGTTACACCTGCCTTTTTTAAAAATGTGCCTCAAACTTATCGAGCTCTTTCCCATAATAGAGGCTTTGCACCAGACGGACCGTCTGCCCAGAATGTTCTTCATCTTATGGCTGGTTTCTTATCGTTCTGCTCTTGCCTCAAAGGACCTCTTACAGTAACACTCCCTGGACACACTTGACTAATTAGACTTCTTTGGTATTGCTGCTTAATCACAAAAAAATTCGCAAACACATCTCCCTATTTTCCATATTTAAGACACCTAAACCAGTTTCTTACCCACTTCCCCCACCTGAAGCTACTCTATCTCATCACCCTGTTTCTTGTTCCTCCCATTGTCTCTCACTATCTAAAATTATCTTATTTTAAATTTATGTGCTTGTCTATTTTCTGTTTCCTCCTCTTGGGGCGTAAGCTCTGTGAAAGCAGACTCATTTGTTCTGTCTGCTGCCGTATCCCTAGGCATGGGTTGGGACCAGGCAGGTATTCGATCTTCTATGACTCCTGAGTGAATGAACAAATGGATGGAGGAATGAGTGAGAATAGTGCGGAAAAAAATAAAGAGCTGAGGCCATGAACCAGCAGAGGGAACAGAAAAAGGATGGTCAGAGGAACGGGAGACGGTCCGGAAGGACACAGTGCCACACTAGGCTATCTGGACTGTCTAGACTTGAGGAACACGCCTCCTTGGAGGGGACTTCAGCTAGCTGGGGAGGAGAGGGGCATATGGGGCCTGAGACATTCAGAGATTCTGAGGTGCAGGGGGAGGAACGACTCTGACAGGGAAAAAGGAATGGCGTCTGAGCTATGCAAGAGGAAGTTAGTTTTCCTAAGGAAAGAAACCCATTTCCCTAAGATTATTGGGGGTGGGGGGATGAGTAACAGTAGTGGCAGTGACACTGTGAGTAGAGATAAAGTGTGAGACCTTAATATGCACATACTGGTCTTGGTGAAGCAGGAAGCAGAACCGTCCACTGAGAGTAGGGGTTGGGGAGAGACGGAGGAACTGGGGAGGGGAGAACCAGTCTGAAATCCCCATGGGGTCCTTCTTGACGTATAGACAGACTCCAGGAGAAGCATTGCAAGATCAGCACATGCCTGAACTTAGAGTCAAGATGCAGAAATCAGAGCCCAGTGCAGGCAAATCAACTGACCTGCTTCTGCTGTTTGAAGTGGATTTTGAAAAATGGTGCATACCCCCTGGGATGAGAGGGAAGAAACCTGTTTATTTTAAACTGCGGCCAAAGAGCACATATGGGACTGAGAGATAACAGGCTCCCCTAAATCGTTCCTTTATCCTGCCTGCCAGCTGTGTGGTAACTGTCACCAGTCAAGGGATGTTTGGGATTAGAACAGGAAACGGTGACATGGTGACCAGACTATGTAACCTCTTTCTGGAACTGCACGGTAGAGAATCTGGCAGGTAAGATGAGGCCAGAAATGTTTGTTGAATAGAATTGAATTCTAGCTGAATGATAAGGGAAGCCAGAATTTTCCTGACAACCAGCAGAGCCCTGCCCCCACCATTCCAAACCCAAAAAAGCCAATGTCACACTGTTCTTAATCCTTCTCCAGGAAACTTATGGTTACATATCAGTGAGAAAGCTATCCATAGGTGGTTATGAGAATCTGAAATTTGAATGGGAAAAAAGAAGATGTAATTGGTGACAAGGTACTCCAGGCTCCTCAGAAGAAAAGTTATATTTCCATTACTGCTGTTAGCGTGGCATCATGTTTTATGCATTCCTGGCGTGTGGCTAGGGCTGTCAGGCCAGGGGGGAGGAACAAGTCTCCTAGAGAAATAAGTATCATTATGCCCTCCACTGCTTATTGAAATACTATTACTGTTCTGACATTTGGGGCGGGAGCAAGAGTTGAACCCTCACTGAGTCAATGATCATCAGAAACATTATTGGAAAAGAAGAAAAAGAAACCACAAGATGAGACCCAGGGACAGGAGGCCCGAGTCCCACACCTAGTTCCACCTTGAGTGGTACTAACATTTTCACTTAACCTCTCTGAACCGACTTTCTGTCTCTAACTGTCTGCCTC